AGAAAGGAACCCAGCCCTGCTGACATCCTGATTTCCATCTGTGAGATCCTGAGCAGAGAACCCCGCCATATGCACAGCCCAGACTCCTGACCTGCAGAACTGTGGGAAAATAAGTGATCCTTGTTGTAAAATGTAATTATTAAACTATTTATTTATTTATTGTCGGCTGTGCTGGGTCTTCGTTGCTGTGCACGGGCTTTCTCCAGTTGTGAGCAGGGGCTTTTCTTGTTGCAGTGCTCGGGCGTCTCACTGTGGCGGCCTCTTGTTGCAGAGCCCTGGCTGTCGGCGTGCATGCTCGGCAGTTGTGACACATTGGCTTAGTCCCTCCATGGCACATGGAATCTTCCCGAGAGAACCTGTGTCCCCCTGCACTGGCAGGGTTCTCATCCACTGTACCACCATGGAAGTCTGCCCCTTCATTTTAAGCCATTAAGTTTGTGTTGATTTCTTGCATACATAGCAATAGAAAATGAATTAATCAACTACTACCCAGATCAAGATATAGAGTGTTTATAGAACGTCCAGTATATTTCTAGCACTCTAGTATAGCCCCTTAACAGTGAAAAATGCATTTTCGCACATCGTAGTATTGAATTTTCACAACAACCCAGTAAACCAAGATCCTCAGATATGTAGATGACACCACCCTTATGGCAGAAAGCAAAGAGGAACCAAAGAGCCTCTTTAAAGTGAAAGAAGAGAGTGAAAAAGCTGGCTTAAACCTCAACATTCAAAAAACAAAGTTCATGGCATCCAGTCCCATCACTTCATGGCAGATAGATGGGGAAACAGTGGGAACAGTGACAGACTTTATATTCTTGGGCTCAAATTCACTGCCAGTGGTGACTGTGGCCATGAAATTACAAGATTCTCTGCTTGCTTTTTGGAAGGAAAGCTGTGGCCAACCTAGACAGCATATTAAAAAGCAGAGACACTACTTTGCTGGCAAAGGTCTGTCTAGTCAAAGCTCTGGTTTTTCCAGTAGTCATGTATGGATGTGAGAGTTGGACCATAAAGAAAGTTGAGTGATGAAGAATTGATACTTTTTAACTGTGGTGTTGGAGAATTCTTGAGAGTCCTTTGGACTGCAAGAAGATCAAACCAGTCAATCCTAAAGGAAATCAGTCCTGAATATTCATTGGAAGGACTGATGCTGAAGCTGAAGCTCCAATACTTTGGCCACCTGATGCGAAGAACTAACTCACTGGAAAATACCCTGATGCTGGGAAAGATTGAAGGCAGGAACAGAAGGGGATGACAGAGGATGAGATGGTTGGATGGCATTACCGACTTGATAGATGTGAGTTTGAGCAAGCTCCATGAGTTGGTGACGGACAGGGAAACCTGGCGTGCTGCAGTCCATGGGGTCACAAAGGGTCGGACACGACTGAGCGACTGAACTGAACTGAAACCAAGGTCCAGGTCCATTTAGCTTAGGAAATCAAAGGACTCGTATCCTACACATTGTTGTTGTTTAGTCTCAAAGTTGTGTCTGATTCTTTTGCAACCCCATGGACTCTGTACCGCCAGGCTCCTCTGTCCACGGGATTTCCCAGGCAAGACATAACACCCAGCAAACCTGCTGTCATTCGGGGAACGGAAGCCCACTCCTACCACTGTTTCAGTAACGAAATGTAGGTCTCTATAAATGGTGCCATCTCCCATCTCCTCAGCTCCCTAAGAAACCTTGGCAGGTCACTCTGACTTGCTTTGTTTACCTTCAAGAGATACTTGGACTAGCATTCTCTGAGGTCCCTTTCAACATCTGAATCTACAGCTTTTCTACCTCCGATGGCATCTTTAGCCTCCCCGTGTAAGATGCTTAGCTTTTAGGGGAAAGAAAGAAAAATCAAATTCTCAAGGTTTTGTAGGGGAAATTCAAGGTCCAGTAAAAACTTTAACCACTGGAGTCAGTAGGGAGCTAAGCCCTCCTGAGTTCCCAGCCCTGGACAGGATGTGGCCGGACAGCTGGCCTTACCTCCCGGAGGCAGCTCTCCTGTGCTTGAGTTCGTAGGCAGGGAATCGATTGCCTCCGTTTCTTCTTCGTCTTGTCCTTCTTTCCCCGCCTTAGTTCCAGTTCCCTGCCAGGAAAATAAAGGGACCTGTGTTTGTACCTACACATCCCCACCCTGACTTCACACAGCATGCCTCTCATACCGCTCTTTCTAAGTGGTTTAGGGAAATTTATCTCTGCCCACATTTCTCATTTGGTCCCATTCGTGGCCCCAATAGCCCTTATTATGGCTAATGAATGAGATGGAATGATGCTCTTTGGAGGAAAATTTAAGCTATGGGCTTTTAAAGAGAAGCCAAGACATTTTAGAGAAGTAGGGACCTTACTTGCAAATAATATCCCTTCTGATTTTGCATAAAAATCTTTATGTCTTACAGCCACCTCCGTATAAATTGCCTTCACCATCAATGTTCAAGATAAACATAAAGTTGAGCAATAACTTGTTTATGTTTTTTAATTATTTTTATTCCACTTTTACAGTACATTAAGGGTTATATTATGAATTTAAGGGGCCTTTATATCTCAGATAGCTTACGTGAAAATTCTTTCTGAGCTCCAAGAAACGCTGACTTTTTACACAGTTCAGACTGCTTGGAATCGTTAGTCAGGAAATGTTTTTGTCCCAGTTGACCGTAAGAGGGCAATGTAGGTACACACATTTCTCTTTAAAATTACCTTTTGTTATCTAGTGCTGCATGTTTAAAGAATTAATGTGAGGCTCAGTAATTGATTTGCTTTGCTTGACTTAACTCTGATGGTAAATATAATTAACATTTGAATGGAAATGGTAATTGTTTCCGGTGTGATATACATGTTTCTTTGTAACACTTACTTGACACAGAATAAATAGCTGAGTGTAACCTGGCAAAAATTGTGACTTTAAAATCACTTTTGATTCCCATTCCAGTAGATAATTTCTTTGGGCCCCAGGTGTGTGCTCTGGCCTGTGTAACCTTGATGTGTTGATATAATAATGAGCTTTGAGCAAGATGCGATGACATGGTAATGCCTCATCTAGTAGCATGTTGAGAAATTGCTTTTGAATAAGCCAAACAGATGTTTACCCTACCCCCCAGTTTTCTTTGATAATCACATTTTCCAAAAAAGCGTTTACAGTGCTGTTTGCTTTTCAGTTTAGACCTTGAGCCTGCGAAGAATTTGCAGATGCCTAAGAAAAAGGATTAAATACGCACCCCCTGTCAATAGGGCATCTTCTTTGAAGGGAATAAAACCAAAATAACTTTGAGTAATATAGATACTATCAAGAAGTCAAAGAAGGAGGGTGGCTCACTGTGAAAGAGCCCACGTATGCAGGAGACGTGGGTTCAGTCCCTGTCTTGGGAGGATCCCACGTGCCGCGGGGCGGCGAGCCTGTGTGCGCCAGAACTACGGAGCATGTGCTTAGAGCTCCAGCAGCCACAGCTACAGAAAAGCCCGTGCAGCGGCGAAGACCCAGCACTGCCATAAATAAATAAAATAACCAATGAATTGGGCAAGCAGATAGGCATTGGAAGGAGGTAGAATTTTTTTTTTTTTAATTAAAAAATCAGAGAAGCTGAAAATAGTCACGAGCAGGAGACTTACTTAAATTTCAATTTCTAAGTCATATGAGCACTTGGATTTTGAATTGTGGTTTAACAGGTCAGGCTATAGAATTGCTGGATTATGATCAAGATTTGAACCTTGGGGTGTGTAAGGGAGTGATGTAAAATGATTGGTGGTTTTTGGAAGATTATAAACTTGAATAATAAGTGTTAGAAATGAATAAATGTACACTTTCTGGAGAAAAAGCCTAAAAGAAAATGGCCTGTATCCACAGACATCTTGTTTAGGGAGGTGACGTAGCACAATGGTTAAGAGCATGGGCTTGGGGGCTCACCTGCTTGGATTAGATCCTGACTTTGCTACTTCCTGGCTCTGGAACTGAGGTCAAGTTACTTAACTGTTTTGAAAGGTAGGGCCTATCTTGAAGGGTTACCATGAGCATCCTTTGAGATAATACATTTAATTGCTCAGAACAGTGTCTGGTGCAGAGTAAACTTGCAGGAAATATTAGGCATCCCTGTTGAAGCATGTAAAGTGCTGTTTCCACTGAAACATTTCAGTGGCATTTTCTGAGGGAGGTGTTTGGTAAGAAGGGTGTTGACTGTCACTGTGAAAGGTGTCCTGGTGCTTGTGTGATCATGTGTAACTATGCTACAACCATGAGTACACACTGCTGATGCAATTTTTTTTTTTTTTTTTAATTTGGCCACACTGGATCTTAGTTGGGGCATGTGAGATCTAGATCTAGTTCCCTGACCAGGGATGGAACCCCAGCCCTCTGCGTTGGGAGCACGGAGTCTTAGCCACTGGACCCCCAGAGAAGTCCCTGATGCAGTTTTATTTTATTTTTGCAATTTTAATATTATTCATTGTGCATAAGGACTTTTGAACCTTTTGTATGGTGGAGAGTAATTCTTTAGACCTTGTGTCATTGGTTTGTTTTCTGTGTTCAGTGATGGTTTTCTGAGTTAATATTTGATTGTGGGAGCCATTGATTGAAACTTCTGAATGAGCTAAGAAACAGTAAGGACTAATACTGCCATGCATATGTAAAATATGAATTTAAGTTATTACTTGCCTCACAGGCATTTGAGTGAGCCATAACCCCGGACAGTGCTTAGATCTACACATTTCCTTGGTTTTTGCCTGCTTTTATTTTGAGAAAAACATGCTTATCAGAGGGAATGCTCAATGTCCCCTTTCCCCTTCTGCCCACAAACATCCTCACACCCATTTTAGATCTTTCTGTTTTTGTGCAAAGGAGAACTTTTTGTAGGAGAGGGAATGTCTGGGATTTCTTTGAGATGTGACAGCCGGAAATGTTGCCCATAACCAGCAGGCTAACAAACATAGGAGCATAATTGTGTTTTAACTTGAAATATTTTTTATGTATGATTTGTTGGAAGAGAATTTCAGAATATCTTCTTTTTTTTTTTTCCAGAAACCAACAGCCTAGGACTATCTCAAGGTTTAGGAACTTTTCCTTCTGGTTATTATTACAAAGATCAGTGGAGGCCCAGGAGGTTTAAGATGCGCCAGTTTAATGACCCTGACAACATTACAGAATGCTTACAGAGAAAAGTGGTGCATTTCTTTGGTGACTCGACAATCAGACAGTGGTTTGAATACCTCACTACATTTGTTCCAGGTTGGTACTTTGCTTTTCGTTTCGTAACTCCCACACATACAAGATCCAGCTCTGAAATAAGCAGACCCAGCCCGGTCCCTGCAGAAAGGCATCAGGTAAGGGAAAACTGCCTTCTCCGAAGGACTGAAGGCGGGTCCTAATGCTGGAGAGATGAGAGAGAGTTCCTGACCAGTGGTGGGGCTGGCATGCATCCACGCACGCTCTGGCTGCCTGCTGCAGTTCACACCGCTGACAAGCCGTGTGACCCCGGACGAGTCATCTGCTTCTCAGGGCGTCGTTCCTCCAAGCGTGCGATGCGGCGCTGGACACTCACCTCACAGGTGTCGTCCCTTCTGACCTCCTAGGCTGTGAGATGGAAGTGAACATTTCCACTTGTTTCTCTCCTAGTTCTGTTTGGTCCTACTCCAAGTTTATAATCGATTTAAGTGGAAGGAGGCAGACAAACTGTCGTCCGATTGACTGCGTCCAGGCAACAGAGTGTCCCTGTGTCCCCCACTGGGCGGTCCACTGTGTGGCTCTGGGGTGAGCTGCCTCTCACCAGGGGAGTCTGGCCAGTCCAGCCTTCTTAGCTTCCTGGTCTCCCCGCTGGGCTCCGGGCAGCTCTTCAGACTTGGAATAAAGCCCTGCTTGTCGGAGGGCCGTCCCTTCCTCTCAGGAGGCCTTTTCCTCTTCCCAGAAAGGGTGTGGATAGAGCGAGGAGGGGCGGGTCCAGGGCAGCAGGACTGAAAATCCTGCTCAGAGTTTACAGAGCTGACGAACAACTTTGTGGGAACTGTGGTTTTTTTTTTCATTTTAAATTAATTTTTATTACAATAATTGATTTACAATGTTTCTACTGTACAAAAAAGTGAATCATCTATAATGGACACACATCTCCTCCTTTTTTAGATTTCTTTCCCATTTAGGTCCCCACAGAGCTCTTCAAGTTCCCTGTGTTATACACTAGTTATCTATTTTATTATCTATTAAATTTACTATTTTAGTATCTATTGTCACTAGTTATCTGTTTTACACAGGTAGTGTATGTCAATATATATATATTTGTCAATCCCAGTTTCCCAATTCATCCCACTCCCCCATCCCTCCTCAATATCTGTAAGTTTGTTCTCTGACATCTGTGTGTCTATTTCTACTTTGCAAATAAGTTCATCTGTACCATTTTGTGAGAACTATTTTTGATGGCTGTTTGTGGACAGGACCTTTCACAAAACAAAATCCTACAGTTGTGAGTGGTTGTGTGTGGTGGTTTTCATTTTTCTCTTCTGTTTATTACATCAGCTTAGTTTCAAGTTTCCTTTGAAGGAAAGGAGGAAGTAGATATGACCCCCAAAAGTAGAAAATTATGATTTTGATTTGCTTTAAAAAAAAAAAATTGAAACAGACATAGCAGGGTTCTAGTTGATAAAGGAGCAGTTAAGCAGAAGGGAAGCCGTCTGCATGGTGTGATGCCAGGCACAGTTTGGTGCTGACCAGGCGGGGCCCCCAGCAGCTGGTATTTAAAGCTTGGTTCTTAAGTTCTGATGAGCTCGGTATTTCCTTTAACAGCAGTGATCACATTGAGTGTCTTGATCATTTTCCACCGTAGCCTTTGCAGACAGATTTTTGCCTGATAAAGCCTTGTGTCAGGGCTTGATCTTAATCTGAAGAAAGAATGGTAAATTGAGCTTCTATGCAGTTTAATTGGGGCCAAGTGCTAAGTAGTAATGAGAATGAGAATTAGGTATGAGAATCTAGAAGAAGAGCCTGGGTGGGACCTCATGGGAAAACAAAGTGAAGCCTTAACTTTAACCCTTGCAAGTAAATAACAGGGGACAGTCATGGTTTGATGCCACTTCTTCAGAATCGACTGTCAACTCCTTGAAGGCAAGGGCTGTGACTTACCCATTTGAGCATTGCTGACTTTTTTTTTAAGCTAGGAAACTAATTTATTGTTTTACTTTTTTTTCTCTCTTTTTTTTTTTTTTTCTTTTTGGCCATGCCATGCAACATGTGGGATGTTTGTTCCGCCACCAGGGATAGAACTCCTGTCTCCTTCGGTGGAAGAGTGGAGTCTTAACCACTGGACTACCAGGGAAGTCCTGTCTTGCTGGCTTAAAACACATTAGTGCTGGCACAGAACAGATGCTTAGGCAATGTTATTTCAGTTGGGTTGCCAATGGCTGCTTAATCTGGTCTGTGTAAGGCACTTGTAGGACTCTTTAGGGATATGAGACAGATCCTCTTTCCTCATGGGGCCAATGTTCAGCTGTGAATTACACAGCTTTTTTTAGGGGTAATAAGGGAGGATCATCACTGATTCCTGGAATCATCAGAGAACCTGGACTTGGAAACCCAACTTAGATAAAGGGGAGGGAGTGAAGGGAATTCTCACTTGTGCTTCTGTCTTTGTTATGACACAGAGAGTTTTCTAAGACATTAACAGAGTTTTCCATGCATAGGGTGAAATTGAAAGCCAGAAGAAGCAAGGTTGTTCCTTTTTTTTGCTTATCATAAAAAGAGGTATTTGGTTACTGTTATGTTGTTTGTTAAAAAGCCAAAGTTACAGTTTTTGACCTGGAAGAAATATTTATCTGTTAGAACAATGATGTGTAAATGTCAAATTGATGTTTAGATATTCAACAGTCAGTCAATGCAAACAGGAAGATTTCTTGGCCTAACAGTTAGAGGTAAACAGGTTATTTTGCTTCTGAGGTCTAGAATCTATTGCTAATGATATTACTTGTAATTTCATGCTTATGGAGTGACTTAATAAATACGTTAGAATAAAGGTCCATTGAAGCCAAGGCGGGGGCACCAAGGTGAAGTGAAATAAGTGTTTACATTTGTATTGCACCTTTTTGTTGTTTTACTTAAAAAAATTCTTTTTTAATTGAAGGATAATTGCTTTATAGAATTCTGTTGGTTTCTGCCAAACATCAACATGAATGAGCCATAGGTATACATATGTCCCCTCCCATCTCTCTCCCCATTGTTGTTTTACTTTTATTTAAAAAGGTTGTTCTTTGAAGCCACTAACTAAAGAATAATAAAAGCATACGGCTTTGTTTAACCATTCTTATGAGTCTGATTTTTCCTTGTTTCAGATTTAGTGGAGTTTAACTTGGGTAGCCCCAAGAATGTGGGTCCTTTCCTGGCAGTGGACCAGAAGCACAACATCCTGCTCAAATACCGCTGCCACGGCCCACCCATCCGCTTCACGACCGTCTTTAGCAGTGACCTCCGTTATGTGGCCAATGAGCTGAATGGCATCGTGGGAGGGAAGAACACAGTGGTCGCCATAGCCGTGTGGTCTCATTTCAGCACCTTCCCCTTGGAAGTGTATATCCGGCGGCTCAGGAACATCCGTCGGGCTGTGGTCCAGCTCCTGGACCGAAGCCCTAAGACTGTGGTGGTCATCCGGACAGCCAATGTCCAAGAGCTGGGGCCTGAGGTTAGCCTTTTCAACAGCGATTGGTATAACTTGCAGCTGGACACCATCCTTCGGAAGATGTTCTCAGGGGTTGGAGTATATCTTGTTGATGCCTGGGAGATGACCCTGGCCCATTATCTGCCCCACAAGTTACATCCAGATGAAGTCATTGTGAAGAACCAAGTGGACATGTTCTTGACCTTTGTGTGCCCCTTGGAGACCTAGCCTGCCAGAGGGGACTGGCGGAATCACGTTCAGTGACCTTCTCTCTCACCTACACTACAAAAAGATAAACTTCTTTACACAGGTGGCCCTGTGGAGAGATGGCTTTTATATGTATTTAAAATCTAGAAAGGAGCTGGACTTCATGTAATCATTGTAAGGAGCTTAGAAAATGCAGATTACACTTATATCTACCTATAGGATTTTTTTCCTATCTTGACTTGCCACGGGTGAGCCATTATTAGCAGCATATACACACTATACTGCCCTTGTAACCAAAGATACTAATGAGTGTGTCTGAACTAGCTTCTCTTGGCAGGGGATATTACTGTGCTATGAAGTGTGAAAAATGTTCTGACCTAAGTGGAAGGGGCAAGTTTGGTTGGCAGTGGACTGTTTGTAGTTTATCTGGTAAAGGAACATATTTGCATGAATAGCATAATTGGCCCATCTTCAGCGGAGGTGAATTTAACCCAAGGCTTGCAGTCAGCGGCTCCTGTAACACATTGAAGACAGCTGTGTCTCAAGAGTTTCTTTTGATGATCTAGTGTTTTTTCTGAATTACTTGAAAAGGCCAGTATCCTTGGTCAGAACTTTCTAATGAGAATATTTACAGTGTCCGACTTTAATCTGGAAAAGAAGCAAAAGGGAAAGATGAAAGCAGTATATATAAAATTGATATTTGCATTGGGTGATTGTTACTTACTTGATTCAGCTAAGGATGAATACTTATTCTAAAATAACCACTTTTGGAACTGAAAGGGGAAATATATAAAGGCAGCTTTATTTTTGTGTTCTGAAGTTTGAGGGTTTTAAGAATTGACTTTTATGTAAAGATTGCTACTGTTTGTTACAAAGTTGTGCAAAGTATTTCCAGCAATACCGAGTGTTTCTTTTCTGGTTGTTATTTTGAATTGCATACCCAAATTAGAAATTAAAATCTAATTAAAAATTAAATGTAGATATTGAAACCTGTGAAGGGTTGATTTGGGCATAAGGTAATGCTTATGCTTGGAAGTAAAAGGTGCTATTCTTACTGGCTACCTTAAAATAATTGAATTATCAATTTTATCTGACTGTCTTTATCTTATTAATTTTAAATAAGTTTAAGTTAATGTGTGGCCGCTCAGTCCTCTTTTCTTTTTGAAAAGAGCCTAGTTTTATGCACCCCTAAAGGAACATGTGATGGACATGGATCTGGGTAAACTCTGGGAGATGGTGAGGGACAGGGAGGCCTGGTATGCTGTGGCCCACGGAGTTGTGAAGAGTTAAACACGACTTGCAACAAAGGAACATATGAAGAAACTGGGGAGGCTTCAGAAGTGAAGAAAAATGCCTAATGCATGAAAAAATACACTCAGAAGAATGGGTCAAAAAATCTGAGTTTTTAACTTAAAACAGAGATACTGAGATCTTCCTTTCCTAGCCTTGAGGGCCAGCTTCCAGTTTATAAAATAAATAAATATAACTTTAAATTATTTTCTGAGTCTGAAGTAGGCCAGGTAGTTAAATATATTAATATAGTTGAATTTTAATGGTCTTTAAGCTTTAGAGTATTTAATGATCATTTATTTGATCAAAGTGCAGAATTAGGGAAATTGTGGAGTCAGGCTTAGTGGCAGACATCTGAGGATTCTGATGCAGTGGTGGTATTCTACATTTCAAGAAACACAAAGGGAAGAGAGAAGATAGAACTAAGGAAATAATATTTTTTTGTCTTATTTTAGGGGCTTTTCCCATAACATTTAGTTCTGATCAGGATCTAATACTGCAGGTAATACTAGCTCCATTTTATAGATGAAGAACTTGATTTTGGATTTGAACTAAGGTGCATGAGAGTCCATAGCCCTTTTCAAAAGGAACTTTTTGGACTTTGTAAACTTTTATTTTTCATGAAAGAACTTTGGAGCATTTTCTCAAGTGTCACTGGAAAAGGCTGAGTCATGTCTTCCTAGGAGAATTTAAATTTCCACTGCCCCTCCAGTTTGTATAAATGATTTCATGTGATCTCATCTAGTTATTTTTTGATTTAGTGACATTATGTCCTAAAGATTTGATGACACAGTTTCTTAAAGTATGCTCATTCATTCTGTCCTTCTAATTTGTCTTTATACACTCATGTGGAAATATAAAAAAATGTCTAAGTGGGGAGTTTGGAATATTACCTAGGCCATTTCTAGATACAATATTTTAATTTCTTCTGAAAAGTTTAACTTAAGCCAATACCACAGAGTTGTGACTGTTAGCATGCCAATCAAATAATATATTTTATTTTAAATATATATTTTCCATTGTAAGTATAAAGGATGTTAAATATTGAGTTGGCCATGGAAAAACCTGAACGAACTTTTTAGCTAACCCAATATAAAAAATTATGAAATCTAGAAGAAAAAAAACCTATGGATAGGGTCCATAATTCTATCATCTGAATGCAATGAGCATTAGCAATTCGGTTTGATTTCTTCTAGTTTTTTTAAGTCCCATAGCTGTAATCACAGAGAACATGTGCTTTGTATCTGTTTTTAAATTTCACATATAAATAGTTTCCATGTTGTCATGACTTAATTATAAAAGTCTACCTAACAGTGTAGCTGGGTGATATCATTATATACATAGCTTGGCCATTCAGGTTTGTAATAAAATATGAAAACAGTGGTTTATATATAGTTTATGTATGTATGTGTGCTTAGCCGCTCAGTCATGTCTGACTCTTGGCGACCCCAAGAACAGTAGCCCGCCAGGCTTCTCTGTCCATGAGGATTCTCCAGGCAGGAATACTGGGGTGGGTTGCCATGCCCTCCTCTCCTCCTCCAGATACATATGTGGCTTATATATATATAAATGGGGCTTACATATAAACAGTGGGTTAAAATACTGATTTTTATTTTGGAATGACAGTGTTAACTTCATTTGTTGGACCTTCTAATACTCTAGAACTCAAATGATTGATTCCATGCTACTTGTGAAAGGGAGACTCCATAATAAAGCCCTTCTATGCAAATTATATCCTATGGAAGTTAAGAGTAACTTTTCTTTAGCAAATATGTTTAGTGTTCCAATATGTTCAATTTTTCTTACCATTCTGAACAACCATCATTTTATTAAATACCAATTGACTGATACTTCCCAGCTTCGGGTATTAAGTGCTGCATCAGGGTTCTTGAAGGGAAGCCTCTATATCTGTGTGTTACATGCCAGAGGTGAGTCTGTTTCCTGGCTATATTAAAGGAAATAGCAGTTACCCAGAAAGTATTCGGAAATAAATACCCAAGGGAAACAACAGAAATGAGACCTGCCCCTTCTGAGCATGCGGTCCTCCCTGCCCCGCAAAAAGCTGCTCAGCATTAGCATTATCTTCACAGATCTAGCTTGTTGCTCAGGCCATAAATCCACTTTGAGTGTATTCTTTCTCTTGTGTTAAGCAGTATTCTTTCCAGGGTTTATGCCTACAGTGGAGTGCGTTTGTCTGTTCAGTGTGCAATAAAGAAATAAGATATGGAAGGTGCTTTTTTTCTCTTTGAAAGTGAAACTACAGCCCCAGAGTTCAAGGGGCACCTGGGAACCCTGGGGGAGGTGTGGGGTGGTAGAAAACAAGAGGGGGGTCCAGGGCAGCAGTTTGTGGGGTACAGAAGGTACAAGGGCACAAGATACATTTCAATTTCACTTTGTCTCCAAAGTGCACTTACAGTCTAACTTTCTAGAGAAAGTGTGAACTTAAGTGTGTTATATTTTGCTTTTTATTCCCAGTGGTAGAGTCCCCCTGCAGATGCAGGAGACAGTTTGATCCTTGAGTGGGAAAGATCACCTGGAGGAAGAAATGGCAACCCACACCAGTATTCTTGCCTGGGAAATCCCATGGACAGAGGAACCTGGAGAGCTAAAGTCCATGGGGTCACAAAGAGTCTGACACGGCTGAGCGACTGTGCACATGTCCACACACACACACTCTCTCTCACACATTCTTCCTGAGATGAGAGGAAGTCGGGCTTCACAAGCTCTGCTGTCTTAAAGTTTTGAGGATCTTCTGGTGTTTAGGTCTAGATGCCCATTCCTGTTGGAGAACCAGACATTTCCTGTCTAGTTCTAAAGCTGGATTGTAACACGGCGTTGTGGCGTTGGGGGTGAGGTTGGCCATACCCAGATGACAGTAGAAAGCATCCGTCAAGAAAAAAAGCCACAGTGAAACCAAACGTCCAAGAAGAAATCCTTTCAGAGTTGCCTAATCGTTCATTCTCTGTTTAAATTCATTCCACACGAAAATGTTCCTGTTAGAGGAACACTGTTTTACTTACATCTCAGATTCCTTGTCCTTTAATGTGTCAATGAAGGCGCACAATAGGGACACTGCTTTCTGATTGCCCTGTTTGAAGAGCTCGGCTGTAGAAAGCACCCCCCTTCTCCCCCACCCCCGGCCCATTCAGGGGGCTGTTCAGAAAAAGCCAAAGAAAAAGAGAAGGTGGATTTAAGGAGGTACCTCCAATGCCCGGCTGTAACTTCACCGAGACGTTTTCAAAAGGCATCCCCAAGACAAACGTTTTAGTCACAGATCTGTTTCTGATTCCCCTGCGCCGTTCCAGTCCAGGTCTTGGAGCCCGCCCTCGAGGGGAATGTCCGTGACTTGGGTCAGTACCTTTCTGGCCTGGGAATTTCCAGGGTGCAGAAAAAAGTCCACGAACCGAGTCCTTGCTACTGCCTTCCTGCCTCTGCCCCTCCTCTGTGCCCACGCAGCCCCTTTTGAATGAGCGTCTGACCGTCTTCTGTAGTTTAGAAAACTGGTCCTTGGCTTCCCCCGCCCCCATCCCTTTCTAGAGCAGTGAGCGGCAAGCCAGCGCTATAAAGGGGGCCGGGAGAGGGGCTGGCCGCCTCCAGCCAAGAGGTCAGCCACCGGGTTCTTAGAGAAAAAGGCTGCTGCCGCTGCTGCTTATCATGTAACCTCAAAAGGAAACTGATCATCTTTCTCATGCTCTCACGTACTTGGGTTATTATCGCTGATTACAGCTGGA